CATGCATCTTCTCCCCAGAACTGCAGCCCATCCCAATTTAAGGGCCAAGCCTTGCAAGCTGCAAGATCCAGGTGTAGCGTCATTTTGCTGTAACTACCTGTCTACCCTTTTCCAGGCCTGTTTCTCTCGGGAGCAGCCTGGAGGCATGTCTGAGGGGACAGGACTACAGGGGCCTTTGGCCTCAGCACAGTCTGCCTGTCCAAGCAACGTCTGTGGCTCGCTTACATCCTGGGGAGCTGGGGGGCTCAGGTCATCAGGTTAGAGGGCTGATGCTGCTTCTCTCCCAGGTATTTTTTTCCTTAAGCTCTCTGACTTCACATTTATGCCTGTTAATTTGTTTGTAGGAGGGAGATTTGTTGGTTCCCCCATCCATGCACACACGCTCACAACCGTCAGCCACCTCACTGGGAGCAGAAATCCCATCATTAAAAGTCTCATCCAACCCAAAGCATGACAATGTTTGCCTTCTAAAAACCCCCTACAGTATTATTTACTTGCCTCAGAAGGAAAGCGGGAGACAGGGGATTTCTAGTGGTTCCCTGGCTTTGCCATCAGGCAGTTGCAGCTTTTATCACGTATTGATTTTTCCTTCCGATTCCTCACATTCACACACCGTAACACACACACACACGCGCGCGCACACACAGACACACACGCGTGCGCGCGAGGCCGCTCCACGGCAGCACGAGCTACAGCTCCCTGCCGGCGAGAAGCCAGCCAGGCATTCGTTACTGCACCACCATGCACGCTGCCTCAGACTGAACGGACATCTCCAACACGTAGGATACTCTGACAAAAAGCTCTAACCACTCTATGACTCCGGCCACAAGGGGTATTTAATAGCACTTGGTTTCAGATAACACTTAACGGTTACAATTGTTGACATTTGGCACTGTCTACATTACAACAGCATCAGGGACTCGGTCACAAGGTTAAAAGTCGGCGTCCCCGTAACCGTTTAAAACCGGGGGCAGTCCAGCTACCCTACGCCGTGCAGCCATGGTGTCGTGAAGGGTACCTCTGCGCTGCCCAGTGCAACCCAGTGCAGTGCGCCTGGAGACACGGCTCGGCTGCTGGGAGCAGCAGAGTTGCTCCTCTGCTCCCGCAGCGTAAATCAGCCTTCCCGGAACCCTGCCGCTCCCAGCAGGCGAGCCAGCTCACCACTCGCCGAACCGTGCCCGCACGCCATGGACAAAACCCTCCGTGGCCTTGTAGCTGTGCTCGGGCCCTTACGGACAGAATTGTTTTCTGGGGTACAGAAGATGCATCATCAAGTGAAATACTAACCCCTCGTGATCACACTAACTCATCAGATTTACTTTTAATATCATCACAGTATTAAATGTTAAAAAAACCCCAACCAACAAACCAACCCATACTTGTTGATATCAAGACGTTATTAAATTAAGCAACCGCTCATACATCATCAGCAGCTGATGTCCCTACTGTGAAACTGCAGGGTTAAAAAAAGAATAAAAGCATCATTAGACTGAGTTACGCTCCCTGCTATATAGGTTTTGATACCGGTCATACCTGAGAGCAGTTTTAAAAGGGCCTTTGGCAGCTGTCAGCAAGCGAGCCTGCTCGGTCACAGGACTGGTGCAAGAAAGACACTGGTTCTCCCAGGATTCTGTTCACTTGCTTACCACCAAAACCAAAAAAAACCCTGCAAGTTTAAAGAAACTTCTTTAAAATTTAGTGTTTTTAATCCCACACAATTTTCTGTAAGCCTCCTAAAATCTACAGGCATCATTTTAAAAAATAAAAATATCCCCAAACCGAACAGTGTGGATTTTAAATCTGAATTAGCTACCACATCCTTACGTTACTGAGCAATCAGAGGTGCAGACGTCCTGGCTTCTCCCCTGAACAACTGTCTCGTACCACAGATGCTAGAAAAGGTGACGGAACCGTCCCATCTTAAATTTCAGATTTCCATCTCCAGAGTCTCCTACAGTCATAGACAGGTTACCTGCAGTAACGCAACACGTTTTCAGACAGCCAGACACGCTTATCGCTTTTTTTTCTAAGCCTGCAAACAAGTTTCAACTTCAGCAAAAAAAAAAAAAGTTGCTGTTTGTCTTTCAGGAAAGGATTTCAGATAGTGCAACATGATCCACTAGGCAAAGGGGCACCCACAGTTCAGCAAAAGCTTTGTGCCCTTTATTCGCTTGTCCTACACCTAATACAGGCCCAAGAGGGTTCCCCCTTAAACGATTTTTTTTTTCTCCTGCTTGGTTTTTTTTTTTTTTGCCTTTTATAAAAACTGGGAATGTCAAGCCTCATTTTTGTTTTGCCCAGGAACTTCTATCTGACTGAGGCAAGTGTCGGGTGCTCTCAAACCTCACAGAACTTAATACAGAGCTGACTCCTTAGTAGCAAACTTTTCGCCAAGTATTAACTGTAATTTTTTTGCTGTGTATAAAAACCACTTTGATTGATTCTTGATTGGGGTTTGCTTCCTTGGTAGCTGGCTTCCTGGGAAGCTTCCGTCCTCAAACAGAGAATCAATAGGAATGCATCCAGCCTCAAATTTATGAAATAAAAAGCAAACAGGACAAAAAAAAAAGACAGAGAACCAACCCTTCAGTCTCTCATACAGCACAAAGAACCCCCCTTCCCCCTCCCACCTTGCAGGACATGCATAAAGAGACGGAGGAGGTGCAGGAGGCTGGGCTCTGAGAAACTGAAACGGGTCGGGACCATCGCCTTCCAGCTCCCGACAGCACAGGGAACCAGCCCTTCCTGGGCCATAAAAACTAGGATACCGCACAAGTTTAGAAATCCATCAGTGAACAAGGCTTTACTGACAACTTTTCATACAGTTAAAAAATAAAAATACAGAACAACAGCGGACAGTGTCACATATTAAAAACGAATAAAATGGGCTCTATTTAAATGGTATTAAAATTAATTAGAAACTAAAAATCTTACCACTTTGGTCGAGGTGTTTTGAGCCTCCACCAAAATGATCGGCCTTAAAAACAACTGGGTTGTGTGACACACAAAGAAAACATGGAATTTGAAAAGACAGTGTGGGCTAGGCAGTGTCTTTGACTATAACTATCACCATATGTTCTTCTTCTAACTTTCCCAATGTCCTTAGTGCTGACTGGAGGTACTGCTGAGAGAATTCACAAGGAGGGAACGCGTAAAGCATGCCTGTGCTGTCTCTGCCCTTCGCCCCTCCCACGGGCAGGCTGATAACCCCAGCAGCCTGCTTCTGTTTCAAGTAGGAGACCAGATTCCTGAGAAGCCGTCGCTGCAAGCCGGGCTCTACAACAGGGAAGGTCCCCTCAGCCCCTGCCCCTGCCGGGGTGGATTGGGTCGCCAGGAGCACAGCGTAGCCGTTGGGGCTGCCTTGTTTGATACGGCGAGTTACTTCATCCAGCTTGGGCTGGTCGAGCCGAAGTCTCTGAGCAATTTTGAGCTGCGTTAACTTCCCGCCGGATGAATGGTCTTTAAGGAGCCCGTTGATGACACCGAGGTCTCCCTCCAGGATGTGCATAGAGGTGGGGAAGCAGCTGTTTTTTAGCACAAGAAGGCCGTTCCAAGCAAGTTGCAGTGTCTGAGCATATTCTGATAAATTCTTTAGCTTTTTGGTCTCAGATTTTGGCTCCTCGTGAGTTTTTGATTCCGACTCACCAGTTCGATGATTGCGTTCGCTGTCCCTTTTTTTAGGCTGGGGAGCATCGGATGCCTCACGATGGGGTTTCTCCTCAGTCGCGTGACGATTGTTCTGAAGGGAGTTACTCTGCTCTTTCTCGGCTCCGGATTCTGTAGTGTGATTCTCTTTGCGAGCCCTGTCTGGGCTGCGGTCTAAAGCCGGCCCACTGGCCTTTGTCCTGCTTCTGTCCTCGTAAGGCGAGTGAGTAGTCCTCCCGCGGTCACTGGAAAGACTCCGGCGTTTCCGCCTCTCTTCCCACGGTTTGGGCACGCTGCGATCGCTGTCGCTGCCCCAGCGCTCTCCGCTCCGGCTACGCACCGATCGGCTGTAGCTTTCCAAGTTGTTTCTGCGTTCAGCGTTTTTGGCAGGGCTGGCCCAGTCTGCCTCTGCAAAGCTCCTGTCTCTGTCCGAGTACAGGAGATGTGGAGGAGTCCTATCTCGCACCCTCAAGTCTTGCTCTAGGCTTCTGTGTCTGCTGTACCCATCAGCCAGCAGTTCGTAGTGCACGGGGAGCGGTGCAGGCTGGTACTGCTGCGGGTATCTCGTCTCTTCTGCTTTGGCAAAATCCACTCGGAGTCTCCTCTCCGGTCCGCCCAAAGGAAAGCCCCTCATCTGCGCGCAGGCAGCCTGGGCAGCATCCAAGCTTTCGTACTGGATATAGGCGAAGCTGTCTCCCTTCACGTAGTCAATAGTCCTGATGCTGCCGAAGCGGTCGAACTCCCTCGCCAGAGCAGCCAAGGAAGTACTTGGACCAAGACCACCCACCCACAGCCTGGTAGTAGGGTTGGCTTTCCCGTAGCCAATTTTGATAGGGTTCCTGCCGACAACGCGGCCCGACATGGCAACCTTGGCCCGATGCGCCATGTCCAAGTTTTGGAACTTGAGGAAAGCGTAAGCCCCGCCTTGGCCCCGGGCAGGGCGCTTGATCACCACTTCTTCGATGATGCCGTACTTCTCAAAGGCACGTCGCAGCTCCACCTCCGAGACGTTGTGGTCCAGGTTGCCAATGAAGAGGTTGCGGGTCGCTCTCTGATCATCCTCCGGCATCAGGTCTTCCTCGGCCACGATGGGGTAACTGTAAGGGCGGCCGCGCTCGTCATACAGCCCGTAGTAATCCAGGGCCCTCTCCCGCTCCCGGGAGAGCCCGATGGCGGCCCCCTCCCAAGGCAAAGCGG